TTTTCTAAGAAGTAATAATTAAAAATTCCTGCCTCAATCATAATTTAAAGAGGGGCTCAATAAACTAATGAATTTGTATGTCTAAAAAACTTTACTGTACTCTTCGTACAATACAACTGACAAGTTACTGCTTAAAAAAAAAATATTTTTTTTTTGTTTATAAATAAATTTGTTAATCAAAAATTTGATTTTTTCTGCCAATTACAATGCATGCAATAAGCGAGGTATTGGTTTAAAACCAAATTTAACATGTCGAACTTTTAACAAAAACAAGAAGCAGTGTGCAAGAAATATCTGCTTAGTTTGCACAACTCTGGCACCTTAACTTCAGTTGAGTTTTATTTGATAAAGAACTACTCGATATAAACATTGCAGTAACACTGGATTCCAGAAAGAAAAATTTTGATTTTAATGGACGGTATCTTCTAAGTATGCACTTTAAGTATTAAAAATATGTTTTCATATAAGAGGAGTTCGGAAATATAATGCCGAAAATTGAAAATTCGACCGACAATATGCTGACCATATCAAAAATTTTATTCCATTTATTACAATGATCACTTGTACTCTTAAGGTATCAATTTTTTTTTCTATATTGATTTTTAATACATTAAAATGAAGATTTTTTTGTAAATAACCCAATTTATTATCAACTTAACAACCAGCTGTCTAAATATTTCCTATATATGTGAATATATAATGACCGTTAATTATGTACTTTGTTTGTTCCCTTATTATTTATGTTTAGACGTACATATACGTTGTACTTAATGTCAAAATTCATTTTAATTTTTGACAAGCAAAAATAACGTGACAAACCATATCGTAAGTTATTAAATTTTTTTTTTTCATAGTTGTGTTTGCTTCTCTTGAACAAAATTTTATAATCACAAATAATAATTATTATAAAAAAAATTAAAATATTAAATGAAGATTTCATCTTCTTTAAATTTTTTCAGACAACATAAAATTAAAATGGAAATCTTAATTTTATTTCTTTATTGTTTTTTTATTTTTTGCAATTTATATCGTAAATATATACTTACATGTACACTCTAATATATATCTCAAGCGAAAAAAGTCAATTATTATCTAATATTCTGTTACCATCATAAAACTCAAATGAGTTAATATGCATGAATACTTATATACTCTTAATGTATTATATAATCTGACATACACATGTGTATATCTTAATGTATACACATACACCTTACATATATACTTCTATTATAATAAATAAACTTGATTTTTCACAATATTAATAAAATGATCAAAAAATTTTAAGACAAAAATAACAATTATAATAGCAATAAGAAAAAAATTTGAATTCAAAATGTTAGTATGCATGCATGCATGCATGCACCTTTTATGCACACACCAACAATATAATGTATAGCTTTATTGCAGAAATTTAAAACTTTTTGTCAGCTGAAATCAAGAATTGACCGATTCACCTACTTAATTTCTTTTGTGTAATATAATAAAAAAAAAACCTTTATAACAGCTCTAATAGTTGTCAAACGACCTTTAAAATTATCAGTATGTACATGTTTAGAAAAAAAAACAATAAAAGCAAAAAAAAAAATTAAATGCAATATTGTATAAGCAGTGTAGTGTAATGCAAAAAAGTGTTATGCAGAAAAACCAAAAAAAAAACACAATACCATTAGCGAAAATGTACCAAGAGATTTTTCGAATTTTACAAGTACAGTGCACGTATACTAGCATAATAAGTATATTATAGTGTTTATACTGTCATGGCTTAAAATACAACAAAACAAAATTTTTATTTTAATATTGTGTACGTACAATTGTAACTATCATAATATTTAGAGTACTGGCACATTATATTTACCATAGAAATTAATTTTTTAAAAAAAGAGTCGGCATTTTGTTTTAAATTATTTTCAGCATTCTACCACACTGTAGACTAAACACTTCCAAATTGTTGAATTATAGTAGATAATTAGAAATATAGAATTTCATGGTAAAATTCCATTAGAATTTCATGCTTAAACTAAATTCAGCAATTCACTCTTTAGCTGAATTAAATTGTTGCTGATTTACTAGCTGAATTAGGATTTCAAGATTTTATTCGCCACAGAAAGCTTGAACAAAAATTAAATAATTTTTTAAATTTGCTAAGATGTTTCAAATTTTCCATACAAGTTTGTAAAAATTGATTTGAAATAGCCCTCTTGCACATCTTACAATAATTTAATTTATTCAGCTGCAAATTTTTAGTTGCTGAATAAAGTAAATTCCACATTAGTTTGCATTTGAGATTAGTTTAGTTGAACACCTTATATAAATAAATGTTATTATTTTTTTTAAATGAAAAATTAAGTAATACTGTAAAATTTTAATTTTACAAGTACGATCTATTAATTCAGCAATATAAATCCCATCTCAAGAAACTTCTGTCCTCTTTTATTCTTTTAAATAACATAATCATTAAATTCAATGCAAAAAAAAAAGTGCATTTCATCTGTGAATACTTGCAAACTTTCAATTTTATTTAAGTTCAGGTATGTTGAAAATATTACTTAATTTTCAATATGTTGAATACTTTCAAGTTTGTATTTGTAATAAAATAGAGAGTACATTTTTTCCCAAATCTCTCATTACTATTGCAATTTTAATTTTAAAAATTCCCAATATAAAAGGGAGCTTACTTTTCAATAGTATTGCTTATTTGCTAATAATCTCTTATTTGCTATGTATTTATTTAACTTATGTAGTAATATTATGTGTGCGAACATAACCTAAGGTAACAAAATTATGCTTGTTAAGTCATACTAAGTATCTACACAAACATATGTACATATAAAATTATTCGATCATTTTACAATATTAAGTTCTCTCATTTTCTGTTAAATTCTCTGCATTGGTGTTCAAGACAAAAATTTTGTAAAGCAATAGCATGACAGTACTCAACAATCAATTTATATGCATACGAGTATAAAGCACACTTGCATATTAATTCAAACTTTATCATGTAAAATAAATTTCAGTTTATAAAAGAAAATGCAAGAGTCAAGAGATCCAATTTGTAATTTCAGTTAATGTTGCGTTAATGAGTTCAAAATAAGCTTTTAAAACTCCAAAAATTTAAAATAACAATAATAATTTTACGCTCCATAAACTCAATATTCTTGCCGTACCTGTAAATTTTATTTCAATCTCAAAAATTGAAGTGAGCTTTTAAAGTTTTTGAGAAAAAAAAATATTTTTCTCTTTTCTCTATACTCTATTTCATTTTACTCATTTCTCTTTTATTACAATAGTGTATTTTCTTGAAATACAAACTACTTTATGGTTAAATTAAGTATTATGCTTTTATATTTACGTTATGTGCATACTGCATATTATTTTTTTTTATTTATTTTGCTGAGAAAAACTGCATAATTCTCACCTCGCCATATTCTCGCATATTGTTGAGTTTATCATTTTAATTTTTTACGTTTAAATTTTTAAAATATTTATTAGCTTTTTAATATTTCTATTGTTTTGTATTATATTATGTTGTAGCATAATATTTGTACTCTAAGAAGTTGAGTAGTACCCGCCGTGGTGAGAAATTAAAACAAAATAATTATTATTAAGGTGAGTGTTATTGTATGTGAATGAAAATATTTATATTATTATTATGGGCGCTTATTTTTTACTCTTATTTTCATTATTTTTATTGAGGAAAAATTAAAATTGTATAAAATACATGATACAAATATACAACATAATTTATACATAATTACAAACCAATGTTATAAAAATTTTCAAAATGAGTAAATTTCGTTAATGCATGCGGTCATAAAAAAATTGTCTTTGAGAAATTTTAAAAGAGTAAAAATATTTTTGTATATACGTTATATGTGTGTATGTAGCTATGTTGAATAATTAAAAAAGTGTAAAATAATTGAACATTTTTATTTTTTTTGGAGCATTTTAATATTTGTTCACACACATGCATACACACAAACATATAGATTTAAACGTATGTATAAAAGTTTGGCTTTTTGGTTTACTGTAAAAATTGAGGAGAGCATTAAATTAATATAATAAATTTGTTGAATTAAAATAAATGTTATTTTTTTTTTGTATTATAATATTTTTCTTTTAATATTCACACACACACTTTTTATATAATATACATACTAATAAAGTTTCTTGTGTTTTGGCTTTTATAGTTGATTATTTTTATATTAAAAAAATAAATACTTTTGATTTTTCTTGTTTTTTTTTTCTTTTAAGATTTTTTCCAATAAAAATTTTGTTTTTTTTTTTTTGTGGATAAGTGGTGGAGGGGTTCATATATAAAATTGAATTGTTCATGTTAATATTTCCCAGTCGTGTTTTTCAAACGTTATTCAAATAAACACGGAGTGTCAGCAAAAAAAATTAAAATATATAGAAAAAATTAAAAAAAAATTAAAGAAGAAAAAAAAAAGAGAAAAATTATATAAAAATTAAAAAATTATTATAAAAATAAGAATAAGAAGGAAAAAATTAAAATATAAAAAAAAAATATATGAATAAATTTTACAGTTAATTATATTTATTGGCAAATATAACACATATGTACATATATATATATAAAGCAAAATAAATAAATAAGAAATAAAATAATTTATTATTAATAAATGAAAAAAAAAATTAATAAGCTTATGACATAAAACACACAATATTTAAAAAAAAAAATAATAAAAATAAATTACAAAAAAATTAAAATTAAAATAGGTGTTGTTAAAATTTATTAAGCCTTTTAAACATTTAAATTTTTTTTCTCTGAATTATTATCATAATTAATTTTTTCAATTAATTATAAATATTTTATATTTAATAATAATAACCTCATAAATTATTTCAGTTTTTAATCAGTATTTCCTTTATCTTATTTAATATTTAATATTAATCATTTAAATATAAATAAATAAAATAAAATAAATAAAAAAGATAATTTACTTTAAGTATATTTAAAAATAAATTAATAATAATTAATTAATAATTATTTAATAATTAATTATAATAAATAATAATTGAATAAAAATTATAGTAATAATAATAATTATAAGAGTGCAATCTGAGTAATAACAAAGAGAACAAAATAACAAGAAAAATTATTGAATATTTTTTAATAAAAAAAAAAAATATTTTTTTGCAAAAATTAAAAGTGCGATATTAACGGTATATGAAAAAATTTACATATGTACACACATGTGTAGAAAATTAATCAGTGGGAATAAAGAGTAAAAAATATTAAGTAAACATTTTTTTTGTTTTTCTTCCAATAAATAAATAAATTTTTATTTTTACAATTATTTCACATTTTGGAGTTATTTAAATACATGTATACATAATATACATTCATATATATGTAAGTATATACACATAGAATTGGATATTAAATTTTAAAATAAAAATTGTGAATTTTTCAAAATTTATTTACATATTGTGAATATTTTAAATTGAATTTTTTTTTTATATGAAAATATCAAAGAGAAAAAATTTAATTTTTGACAGATGATTTTGACAAATTAATTTTGAAATATTAAATTTGAATTTAAATATTTTAGTAAAATGAATGAAGCAAATTCAACTAAAATTTTCTTTTATAAAAATATTTTTTTTTTTTTTTGATTATCTAGGCACCATTATAATTGTATTGCACTTTTATATGTACATACGTACATATATAATATATGCAATATATTAACATGCACATCAATATATATTATGTGTGTATGTACAAGTATAGTAATGTGAATTTATTAAAGTGCATTATGTAATAATTGGGTATTTATGTTGTATGCGCGCATAATATTATGAAAGTTTTTTTTTTTTGTTATTGTTGTTTTTTTTTATTTTTACTTATTTTTTGCAGTTTTTCTTTTCTGATTACTTAAATATTTTTTATATACACACATGCATAATATTATTATATTTATATATTTTTATGAACAATTTTTATTTCTTGTATTTAATGAGAATGAGAAGCAATAATAATTTTAATTTTAACTGTAAAAATATTTAGGACCAAAAAAAATATTTTTTTGGATTTAATTATTATTATTTATTATTAATTATTATTGATTATTTATTTTATTTGTTTAATTTAATTATTATAATTATTGATTTATTAAAAATTTTTGCAAAGTAATTGCAATAGTCGCTATAATAATTTAATAAAATTGGGAAAATGGAGTAATAGCAGACAATTCGAGAAAATAGGAATGAGTTGGAGGAAATAGTAGAGAAATAATTTGACTCAAATATATGATTTTAAAATAGAAAGATCGTATTTGGTGCATTATGACGTAATGACATGTCGCAAAATGAATTTTATGCTCAGATTTTACTAAAAGGGAATTAATTGGCTAATGCTTAAAATTGGTTAATTGTAAAAGATTTAAATATAGAACATAATTTAAAATGGTTGATAATGATTATATTTAATGAAATTTTATTGACTTTTTTGTCTTGATAGAAAAATTAATAGGGGCCGTTTAAAAGAATCAAATTAATAAACTTTTAAGGTTACAAGAAAAAAATTAATTATATTTAATGAGTTCGACATAAAACTCTTTATGAAGTTGTAATATCAACGCTTTTTTTATTTCTGTTTGTTAAGATTTTGTAATGTCAAATTGGAGTGCTAAATTCTTGTTCAATGTATTATTGATAATTCTGAGCTTACACTTTTAAATCAATAACCTCAACCACTACCATAGAGTTGTTTTAGAAATTCTTTTTATTTTATTTGAATTCTTCTAAAAATACGTGGAAATTGTAATTTTGCTTAAACACATAAAACAGCTTTTTATTGAATATCTCACACACTTGCACTGATTTTCTGTAACAAGTTCAATTTTCACTTAAAAAATTCAGAAGTGTTAAAACAAGAATATTGTTGAAGAGAATTTTACCACAACAATGACAAATCTATTGAGACGGAGAATCATAATTATTTTCGTATTATTCAATAAATTTTTACTTATGTGTCATATAAAATTCGATAGCCAATTATGACGTTTTGTGGTCATTTTGGGGAATTTTATATACTAAAATCATTTGATGAGTAATAATTTGAAATTTAAAAAAGGAAATCCAAGACCTTAAAGCTATTATAGTATAAAAATATGTAGACAAGTGGAAAATAAGTATTAGCAAAAACAACAATATTATATTGTAGAAATATAAATTTCAACAGTTTGATGGTAAACCACTGTGAAAGCGCCCTCAAATGTGTTTATTCGTATACAAAATAAATCAATTCAATTATTCCGAACAAAATTTCAGTATGGCACCACCTAACTATAGTATAAATAATCATACTTAATACTTAAATACTTATTTAATTTATTTTAATAACAATAATAAATTTTCGGAACATTTTAATATAAATTAATTTATTATTTTTTATTAATAAATATTTAATTTTTAATATTCAATTTATTATACATTAATATTTATGTTTTAGCTTCCTAAAAATTTCAATATAATATTTTATTTTTTTTTGTTATTGATTATTTTCCTACAGTGAAATACTATTATTTGTAACTCCTTACTATAAATCAAATTTTTTAATTTCTATCATATATTAAGAAGTTTTCAATATTGCTTCAAGAGAGTATTTTCATTATTTACTGTGTTATTAAAAACAATCTGGAAATGGGAGAATATAAGGCTTAATATGATGGATCAATTTCAGACGAAAATAGAGTGAATTCCAAAATGTTACCTAGAATATGTAACAAAAGAATAATTTGTTTCGCGGGTGTTTGATGTTTTGTAGTATTTCAGTGTTTATACACAAAAATTTCTTAATTTAATTATTTACGAACGATAACTACATCGTCCGAAACTGAAAAATTTGAAAATATTTACAGAACTTAAATTTGCAAGTAATGGAATCAAATTCTTAGAGATAAATTATTCTTTCTATATAATAATTCATCATCTTTAATTTTAGTATTTACGACAAATGAAATTTTTGTGGAATAATAATTTTAATTCAAGCAGTTAACCCTTTTCCGTGGACTCAACTGTATAGTGTTTAAAATATAAATTAAAAAACGCAATAATATAATAAAAATTTTAACATTTCCCTTTTTTTTACAAAAATTTCCTCTTTGTGGTATACATTTTTTTTTTCACTTTTTAAATTTGGTCTACATAGTACATTAAAATTCAATTGTAATATAAAATCTAATTAATTTATAAACAATTTCAATAAAATTTTAAATAGTTAATTTAAACTTCACATACAATCACACATAAGTGTAAGTGAATTTAAAGAAGTATGAAGAAGGAAAAGAAAAACAAAATCATTGTATTGTATGTTCGCTAAAACGAATGTCCGAAACTTTGATTAAATTTTTTTTCTTGCATATATTGTTGTTCTACTCTTCACTATATTGCACTGTAAATGCACACATAGTGTAGTAATAAAAAAATACACAAACAATTATACATGAATTGAAATTCGATATAAATTGTAAAACCAATGCGAAAAAAAATAACACACAACAAAACAAAACGATAAACTTAAAAAATAAAAAAAAAAGAGAAAAAATGAACGAAAAACAAAAAAAAAATTTAAAATTGTATCAGACAGAAGAGCTCATAAATTTCGATTTCCTTATTTTTTTCCTCCCCTTCTTATGTTTTCGATATTTTTTTTAATTTTCCCATCTTTTTTTTTTGTTACATATTATTACTCTGGTTTATTTTGTTACCGCATATACTCCATGGCATTATTCTTGTTTCCTTGTGTGTTTGTTCGTTTGTTTGTTGTTTAATATGCTAAAATTCTGTTTTATGTTTTTTTTGTGCAGTTGTGCTTGTATTTTTTCTCCTCTTTGCAAAACAAGATTTAAATTTGAAATTTAAATCCCAATTCTTTTTTTTTCATTAATATAACAGTAACATTTTTATTTAAAATAAAAGAAAAAGTTATCAGAGTAACACAGAATAAGCGGCAGCCACAGTAAAACCAAAAAAAAAAAATTTTAAGAAAAAAATCATAGAAGATCCGACCTCGTTTAACAAAAAAAAAAATAAAAAATTGATGGAGCAATGAAAAATAAATGTAAAAAAAAGGCAATAATTTTTTACAATGTTAAAAGCAGAAAAAAAACGCACCTTTTCCATCGCGTTGTTATCATTTTTCCAAAATGCAAAAAAAAAATGTAAAAACTGGACATGGAATCTTATGTACGTATGTATATATGTATATTTATGGGGAGACGGAAAGTAAGAAGAAACAAGACAAGAATATTTCAAGGTTGCTACAGTTTTCTGTTTTTTATCAGCTTGATTTTCTACTTTTTTTTTATTTCATATTATTATTGTTGTTGCTATTTTGAAAGCACGTAAATAACATTACGATCATCGCATACACACACTGTTGTACATGTTTATTACGTATGCGCTCTGATAATATAATGAATGCGAACGCGTTTAAAGTGATCGTTTATGTTAAAAAGTGAATTTGTTTTTTTTACTTTTAAATTTGAACCGCTCATTATTCACTTTGTTGTTCACAATTTGGTATACTAGATTTTGTGCTATTATACGAATGCTCGTGTCTATTTGTGTATGTACATATATACATACATGTATGTATATTTAATTTTTGTTGACGCGGAAGCGGATCATCTGGTTTTTATTTTTTTTTTTTGGTATGATGCAAAAATAAAAAAATTACGAAAAAAACAAATAACAATGAAATAAATTTCTGGAATTTGTTTGATTTTTTTTCTTATTCTTTTTTAGCACTTAAATTACAAAAAAAAAAAAAAAACAGCATTTTTAAATTCTTATTTTTTGTTTTGTTATTTTTTTTTTGTTATAACAGAGAAGGCAGCCTATAGCGATTGTAATTGTGTTTGTTTTTATTTTCTTTTGTTGCTTTTATTCTTAAGCTTCTGGCAATTCCGGCTGATTATGCTTGTACAACTTATCAGAAAAAAAAAGCAATAAAAAGGCAACAAAAAAATTTTATGATTTTTTTTTTGCTTTTTGTTTTTTGCTCTGAATAACTTTCGATTTCAATTCCAATTTATGGAATTTTTGTCGGATTCTAGTTTATTAAGAAAAATTTATTTTACTTTTTTTTTATTGGCTTGATATTGTAATAAAAAGTGTATTTTATGTGTACTTTGGATTCATCTTGTTTCTTGATTTTTCCTTTAATTTTTTTTACTTTTTTCTTTTTGGTTTTATAAGGAAAATGAGTCTAAAATTGTGTTCTTGTTTTTTTTTTTATTACTGTATTAAGACATTAAATTTTGTTCTATAATTGGGGCTGTGTTGGAAATGAACTTGAAAAAAATTTTATTATGGGATGGTATTTTATAAAATCGTAATTGGAAT